AGTGACTGTAGATTCCATCCATGAATTAAGCTTCCCTTTCCACAGTGTTCTGGGTGTCTAGTTTCTCTCCTCTCCAGTTGTCTCCCACTGTACAGCTTAATTTATGTAAAACACAGACCTGATCAGGTCGCTCTCCTTTCATTGGATTAACTCTTGGGTTTTCTTTAAAGTGATAAAAATTAACAATATGACTTAAACCAGATACAATGTGAATGCGGTATTTTGATAAATATTCCACCTCCTTTCACCTTCTTTTTTCAGGAAGCAAAGTGTGGGGATTTTAATGCGGTTATAGTGGAAGTATCCGGACAAGCCCATTACACGGGAACAGCAAGCTTTACAATAGAAGATGACGACCCACTGAGGGATGGGTTTCTTCTCAAGTGACTTCTATGACATTTAAAGGCTTTCTTTTTAAAGCAATCATTATCTATCAGTAATTTTCATCTGAATTATGTGGAAACCTATATCCAAATTATACATGTAAGCCAATTTCCATTTTTCTAAAATAGTACACTATGGCTAAATATAAAATCATTATACCTCATAGTTGCATAGATATATAGGTATAGGTCCTGAAATACAGGTGCACAGTAGAAATCAATCAGTAGATCACTACAGTGGGACAAGTCTCATACTCTACCAGCTACATGCCAGGTAATTTAAAACATGATGTTCTGGCTAGTGTGGCTCAGTTGGATGAGCTTCGTTCCATGCACCAAAAGGTCGCTGGTTCGATTCCAGGTCAGGGCACAGACAGGGTAGCGGGCTTGATCCCCTAGTAGGGGGTGTACAGGAGGCAGCCGAGATGTTTCTAACATTGATGTTTCTCGCTCTCCTTTCCCTTGTTATCTCTCTAAAATCAATAAAAACATGTTAAAAAAATAAAATATGAAAGAAATGGTAACTCTTGGTATTCTTGCCTGTGAGCCTGTTAAAAATAAATTTGATCATTACCAGTCATTATAAAATGAAGAATTAAAATTATTCAACGTGTAATGCTCTCAATATTCCTTAAACTCTGCTGTGATTAGTAGTATTTCTTTTTTCTGAGCCGACAGAAACTGAAGTAATTCATTTAAACTGGCTTTGCCATCCACCAAATCTGTATAGACCCAGTCATTAGGTCTATGATTTAATCACCTGACTAAAATCAATTACACAACAAAATAATGTTTTCCACTCATTCCTATTACATTCTTTGGTAAAGAAATCACGTCTAAAAAATAACACTATCACTAACCTTTTCCCACTTTATTAACACTCCTTTTTCTCTGGGAAACTATCCATCCCCTAAACGTAGCCTTGCTGGGACCACCAGGCAGGGGAAGGGGGACACCAATCAGGCTCTTGCTCCCAGGACCTGGGAGTTGTTGTTGTTGTTAATCCTCACCCAAGGATATTTTTCCATTGATTTTTAGGGAGAGTGGAAGAGAGAGGGAAAGACAGAGAGAAACATCGATGTGAGAGAAACACATCGATTGTTTGCCTCCTGCACAAGCCCAAACTAGGGCCCAGGCTGGGGAGGAGCCTGCAACCAAGGTACACACCCTTGACTAGAATCAAACCAGGGACCCTTTGTCCACAGGCTGACGCTCTACCCACTGAGCCAAACCAGCTAGAACAGGATCTGGGATCTTGAGAGAAATGACATTCGGTTTATGAATGGTTGAAGCAGACTTATTCTGATAGTGCCTTAAAGAGATCACCCTCAATTAGTGTCTGCTATCTCTACCCACAGAGCTGCCCTGACTTCTCTTGTTCTTGGGGCTGGCTGTTAGACTATCCTTCTATAATCTGTAAATTCCTTTCTTGTTTAAGGGAGACAGTGCCCTATAAGTATTGCTTATCTCCAAAGACCCTAATCCATACCCTAGCTCCTTAAAATCTCTTCTGCTCTTTGCTGTCAATGCCTGACTTCAGACTCCTTCATTTCTTCCCTGGCCATTACAATGCCTTTTCCTAACTGGTGTCCCAGTTGCTAACTTCTCCTCTGATAGTTACTCAAAAAATATTTCTTTTGTGTGTTTTCCTAACAGTTTTCCAGAGTGCTAAGTGCTAGGAATCTAATAAAAAGCCAAACAGGTCAAGTCCTAGTCTTAACAGAGTCTACAAGTCGACCATGGGAGGCAAGTAATAGTCACGAAAACATAATTATAGACAGTGTAGTATGTCCTACAAGCCCAGGGGGCTTACCCTGAGGGACTAACATTCATGCAGAGATGGGGGTGCTATGGGATTGGGGGAAGGAGTGGTGGTGGAGCTTTCTCGGCAGAAGACAGAGCAGGTACAAATGCCCTAAGGAACTCACGACAGGCCAGTGTGGTTAGAGTGGAGCAAAAAAGAAGCAAAGTGGCCCAAAATGAGACTAGAGAGGAAACAGATGTGAAATCATGCGGTGCCTTGCAGTAAATATTAAGGATTGGGGTCCTTACCCTAAATTAAATGGAGAAAGCCAATAGAGTGTTTAAATAAGTGGCATGATCAAATTATTTTGTTAAAAAAAAAAAGCATTCTGCCTACAATGTGGAGTAGGGGCTGGATGGGGGGAGACCCAGCTAGGAGGTGTCAGCAATAGTCCTAAGAGAGGATGAGAGCTAAGATTCAGGTGGACGATGGAGTGATGGAGGAAATGAATGGATACAAAGATATTTAACAAGTAAAATTCCCAGGTTTTGGTGATGAGGAAGAGAAAATTTATCTTGAAAGAACTCTAAGTTTTTAGTTTTTGCCTAGAAAACTAGGTGGAAGGTGGTGCCCTTTTTTTTTTTTTTAAGATTCAAAATATTGAGGACTAAGGTTTTTAGGAAAGATCACGAATTCCATTTTGGTCACCTTACATTTGAGGTGCTTTTGCACATCAAGGGTCATTGCCAAGTAGTAAGATATATGGTTTAGAGTTGTGAGTATATAGTTTTCAATGCTGTGGCTGTGAGTGAGATGGGGGAGGAAGTCCCGAGCTGCCCAGGATGGGACACTGGATTCTAGCATTTAAAGGTAGGTGAGGGAGGATGAACTAGCTGAGGACACTGAGGCGAACGAGGAAGACGGGAAACCAGGAGAGTGTGAGGTCACTCTTACCTTTCTGAACCATGCCTGATCATGGCCCCTCTTGTTTAAACTCCTTCAGTGGCTAGTGCCATTACCCCGTCTTCTCCCAATGAAGTTCCATCTCTGTAACACTGCACGCAAGGCCTTTGTAAGAGGGCCCCAATCAGTTTTCATCGTTTTCCCCCCTCTTCACTCCCTACCCCACATAGCCTAAGATACAGATATTTCTCACCAGTAGCCAAGAGTAAAGTACTTAGATATTAACCTTCAGACTTCACACATGCATCAAATGTCCTTACTTTTCTTTCTTCTTCTCTCTCTCTTTTTTTTTTTTGAGAGTCCAATGTCACTTCTTGCACAAAGTCTTCATTCTCCATCACCTTCCCTAGGAAGAGTTAGTCACCTCCATAGAATTTCATTGGTATGTTTTTAACACTTTCCACATTGCAATATATTTGTGTGTACCTAAGGCTGTAAGATTCTTCCAGCTGGAATCCTTATCTTACTCGTTGTTTCTGAAAACAGCACAGAGATCTTATACATTAATCTATTATGTTTTTGTCTTAATTCAGTGGTTCTCAGCTGGGTTGATTTCCCTCCCACTCCCAATTCCTGGGGACATTTGCCAATATCTGGAGACATAATTTTTAGTTGTCACTACAGGGATATCATGGATAGAGGCTAGAGATAATGCTACACATCTGTAATGCATAGGGTAGCCCTCACAACTAACAATTATTTGTCTCAAAAAGTCAATAGTGCTGAGGCCGAGAAACACAGTCTTAGTTACCACCTTAAATGAACTATTTATGCTGTTAACTTCCAGTAGGATATTTTCCATCTGAAATAAGCAACCAAGGCACTCCTATCATTGATTCCAAGACCTGCACATGTACCAATCATTTTTTAGAGCGGTGTTTCTCAAAACTTGATTGTGTATCAGAATCACTTGCAAGGCATGTGACTGGGCCCCACCTTAGAATTTCAGATTCAGATTGGGGGCTGGGCCTGAGAATCTGCATTTCTGACACTTCCCAGGTCAGACTGAAGCTGCTGGTCCAGGGTCCACACTTTACAAACCACAGCCTTAGAGAACCTGAGGGCTGATCTCACTTCCCCCCATGAGCAGCCATGCCCAGAAACTCGAGATGCACCTTCCCTGGGCCTAAAGGCCCTGCTCCGGTCTCTCCCAACCAGATACCCAGAGCTGCATCTGTGGTGACTGCCTAGTTGGCAGCACCTTACATTCAAAGCACATCACGTCCCAGAGAACTGAGGAAGGCCAGGCCACAGAGAAGGAACACTCTCCCTTTCCCACAACACATGCGAGAGCCAATTATGCATGATTCTGGGTCCCAGGCTCTTTAAAGCAAGGTGACATCCTGCCGCTAAAATCCATATCCTACTCGCTCCTCAGAGCACCTGTATCAGAGTCACCTGTGGGGTTTAGATTCTTAGGCCTGTCCTCAGTAATCCTGGGAGTCAACCAGTGAATCTGCATTTAATAAGCACAGTACATCAGTGGTTCCCAAAGTGTGGCCACCAGACCAGTAACCTCCCCACCTGGGAACTTGTTAAGAGATGCGAAATTCTAGGTCAGGACCCCAGACCCACTGAATCTGAAACCTGGGTTTGGGCCGACTCACTTAGTTTCAGCAAGAAGTCCGGGTGATTCTGTTAGATGCTCAAGGTTGAGAACAGCTGGATTAACCTATCCTGCTGTTGTATCGTAAATCAGCGAGATAGATACCAGACGCCTTAATGAGCCAATTAATTAGTAGTCTTTATTCGTGCGGCCCAGAGGGAGGTGTTTCCCAAATCTCTGAGCAAACAGAGGAAGTTCTATTTATACCTTTTTGAGCCCTTTGCAGATTTTACAAAGAGCTCTGTGGAGGTTATTGTTACAGTTTGTAACCTTGAATACATAATGAACCAATACTTGGCATAAGAATATGGGAATTATTATCAGTATCAGTATTAGCCTGTTACGTCAGATGGCTAGCTTGCAAGGTCAGTTAAGTTTTTATCTTTTTCTATTATTCAAACTAAAACAGTTATTTTACAGAATAAGGGACTATCTAAAAATAACAGAGTTGACCTACAGAATGAGAGACTAAGAATAACAACGTAGTTCAAACAGTTTTCCAAAGGAGGAATTACTATGCGTCACTGCCCCCTCGTTTAAAATCTCCACATTTGGACAGTTTTCACTTCAGGTTCTTGATTCCTTCCCTACCTGCATATGCCGGAAACACCCACAGGGAGGCAAAGCATCTCCGGCGATCGAAGGCCTTCCCAGGACCTCGTATCCAAGAAAAGAACTGGAGAATGAACCCTTGTTGAATTTGGTCATTTATGAGGGCCACTTCCGCTTTATTTGGCCAGAAAGCGGTCCCTGCGGAGGTCCTTCTGGCACTCTGAAGCCGGACCCCAGGCCGAGGCATCTCGCGGGGACGTGAAGTTGTGCGCCAGCTTTTCGGAAGCACTTGGCCGGTGTCCCGCCCCGCGCTCCTGCGTAAACAGGCGGTTCCCTAGGCAACGCCTGGAACCCACGTCAAAGGCTCCGCAGGGGCCGCGGCGACCACCACCCCTCCGGCCAAGCCCCACTCCCGGCAGCGGCCTCTCGCCCGGCCAAGACACCCTCCAGCTCGCGGCCGCCTCCCCTGGTGCGGGATGAACAGACGCGCGGCCGCCGCGGGGCCCCATGGAGCCAGCGTGCATGGCCTTGGGCAGCCCACGCCCCGGCGCCCCCTCCGCGTCCGGCACACCTGGCGGGCCTTCCTCCGCGGAGACGGCGGCGGCCGCTCTCTTATTCATGACCGAGGTTACTGAGATGGCCGCATTGATGGGGAACCGGAGCGACAGGAGCGAGGACGAATTCAATGACGGCTCAGGTGGGCTTGGCCTCAGGTGAATAAGT